TTAGAGGTACCTTATTTGTATACACGAGTGTTTGAAACTCGGATAGGGAGTGAAAAGCGCGCATAAATAATTAAGGTCACTTGTAGGCTTAATTCAGTCTTATTTCACAACTATAGTAGTAAGAGCGATAGTACGATAACATCACCCGGTCGGCGAACACACCTACACGAAAGACAAATCACTCTCCCAACCCCTCCCCCCCCAATTAAATTCCCGACCCTAACAGACAGCAGAACTCTGTAATCAGGAAGCTGCCATAAGTGATATTTGAGTCTCAGGAATCTTTTCAAGTTCTGGAAACTCCTATCAATCCCTGCTCTGTCTATTTGAGGAAGATTGATATGTACCAACTCTCCAACTGAGAAAGTTATCCTTTTCTCTGTGATTTTTCTCATTGTCATGGACGATATGCCAAAATTCAGCATACGGTAAGTAGATCATCTGAAAGTCACGGGATTACGATCACATTACATACCAGATATTAATATATAATAAATAGCATTCATAATTCCGCTCAGAGTTTGCCTCATGAAGGGAACGGTTATTATAGAAAAACGAAGATTATCATAGGACTTCTTTAGTTGAATTCTGTCTTGATGCAACACACTTCTCAGTCTTTACGACCGGAAACTTTGAAAGAGGCTACTTCAAATATGGACCGTTTAACGCAGTTACAGGACGCCTTAGACCAGGTAGAGACTAGCATTCAATGAGATGTCATGGCGGTTTGTGAAATGTTTGATCAGTGAAATATGAGATGGACAAGGCTATCTTGACTGACTAGGAATACTTGGTCTATAGATGGCGAGACTATTCTCCATAAGCGTCAATTATCTTAGCCAACGTGAGCATACGATTCTTTTATCCGCATTTCGTTCAATTTGATCGTACGGCTAACCCAAGCGTGTCTTTACTTTCTTTTTCTACTGCGCTAGCACATGTTCAGGATCCAGCAGAATTCAAGAGTGAGCAGCCTTTTACACCTTTTTATGACCCTTCCGCAAGAATGATACTCACTCAAAGTTATTCCGAGCAGAGGTACAGCATGAATTAGTGACCGATATATGTAGAAAAGCGAAACAAGTTGAAATATTGATTGACAATTTGCCTGGGGCTACACGTACGGAGGAAGAACAGGTAGGCGTCATATAATTTTATTTAGCATGTTGTGATTTACTGCGATATTGATATAATTCCATTTAGCTTGAATTTATTGGCCAATTGGAGAAGGAATTGCAAGAAGCCAATGAAAACTATCGAAAAGCAGCGCAGACGGCTGGTGAGATGTTCATATGTTCGTTCTAATGGCTACTTGAGGGTTGAGCCTATTACTCAATTGCACCAACCCCATTCCAGAAAATTTACTTAAGCAAATTACAGAAGCGATTGATGTCATAGCAAACGATCAGACGTTACCAAACCATTGTGAAACTATTGACCAAGCGTCGATTGTATTATAATTTCAAAGAGAAATGACTTTGGTTACCCAAAACTATGTCTCGTAGTAATTCTGTAATATATAAGACAAAAGTCAGGGATAACAAATATTTTAATGAGATTTGATTTGAACGTTATTATGGAAAACTCTTTTAGAATATTTCGCCTGTGATACCACAGCTAGTTTTCCAAGAGTATTTCGGATAAAATAATAGCATATGGATAACGACATAACGTTTAAAAATGCTTGTTTAAAGTTATACACGATGGAGGAAGAGCTACATATATTACCTCTAT